TTACAATATTCAACTAAGTTATTGGTTCATTGCTAGTAACTAAATCTAAAGATGATGCAATTAACCTAGTGCTAAATTCCTATAAACTGAATTTTTTTTTCAATATTGTCTATCATGTGAAATTTAAGTGAAGACAAATACCAATAGCTTAAATTTGTGTTTTATAAAAAAATAATATTACTCTATCCAAAGATTTTAGGTTACATAGTTGTTGATCTTCAAATGAGACATCAGTGAGCCTATTAAAGGTTTCTTCTGCTCTGATAGTTTGTCTTCAACCTTGCCTAGTGGGTCTTTATCTTCTGCTATAATGATATTTGCATATTAGTAGCAAAGCCTAAATATAATATGGTTATTCTATGATCTGATTTCCCTTAAGCTAAATGTTTCATATGTTTACTTACTACCTCTAAATAACAACAATAACCTTTAATCTAAATTGATTCTACATGAATTTGTTTTTATCAATACCTAGTTTTTAAGTTAAATATTAACTTTTTTTTCTTATAAACCGTTTATCAACCTATTCAAGGACTTCACTAGTTATTTTATTAAACATTTTCTGGTAAAGTTTGTCTTAATATTCTACTATGGTGACCTTTGGTTTCTATATAATTTATGTAAGATAATCTTGAATGAGATTTTATCTAACAAATAATCCTACGTCCTAAAGATTAATCTGGGAAAATGATAGTTTGTCATATTCCCTATACATTGTTTAAGTACAATCAAATATTGATTCTCTAATTCTATATCTATGACTATATTATTTCACATTGTGAAGTCTTCTTGTATATTCTAGAAAAAACCTAAGATCAAATATTTGTAATTGACCTACTTTTTTTAATGATATAGCCAAAGGTGTTCTCTAACCTTCTCTAAATCTATCATATCCTACATTGTATTCCAAACTTGTAGGAATTCCTCTTACAGTATTCAAACTAAGCTATTGCTTCTGTGCTGGTAACTAAATCTAAACATAATGCAATTAACCTAGTGCTAAATTCTCATAAACTGAATGTTTTTTTCAACATTGTTTGTCATATGAATTTTAAGTGAAGGTAAATATCAATAGTCTAAATGTGTTTTATAAGAATAAATGTCACTCTATACATAGTTGTTGATCATATGAGACGTCAACAAGCCAATTAAATGTTTCTTCTGCTCTAATGTTTCTTCTAAAACCTTGCCTAGCAGGTCTTCACCTTTTGCAATAATGATATTTACAACCTAGTATCAAAGCCTAATATAATATGGCTATTCTACTATTTGACTTCCCTCAAACTAAATGTTTCTCATGTTCACTAACTATCTTTGATTAACAACAATAACCTTTAATCTAAACCGACTCTACATGAATTTGTTTTTATCAACTCCAAGCTTTTTAAGTTAAATTTTAATTTTTTTTCTTATAAAATGTTTATCAACCTATTCAAGACTTCACCAATTATTTATTAAACTTTTTCCAGTAAATTCATCTCAATATTCTACCATGGTGAACTTTGGTTTCTATATAACTTATGTAAGATAATCTCGAATGAGATTTTAACTAACGAGTAATTCTACCTCCTAAAGATTAATCTGATAAAATGATAATTTATCATATTCCCTATGCATTTTGGCCTATGCATTCTTTAAGTACAATCATATATTGATTCTCTAATTCTAAATCTATGACTATATTATTTCATTCATTATTGTGAAGTCTTCTTATGTATTCTAGTAAAACCTAAGATCAAAAATTTGTAATTGACCTACTTTTCATAATAATATAGCCAAAGGTGTTGTCTAATCTTCTCTAAATCTATCCTATCCTACATTATATTCCAAACTTATAGGATTGCCACCGATCTAAAGTCATTTCTCTTACAATATTTAACTAAGCTATTGCTTCTTTGCTAGTAACTAAATCTAAAGATAATGCAATTAACCTATAAACTGCATGTTTTTTTAAATATTGCCTATCATGTGAATTTTAAGTGAAAACAAATACCAATATCCTAAATTTGTGTTTTATAAAAGACAATGTTACTCTATCCCTATAATTTAGGTTACATAGTTGTTGATCTTCATATGAAGCATTAGTGGGTCTTTATCTTCTGCTATAATGATATTTGCATACTAGTAGCAAAACCCAAATATAATATGGTTATTCTATGAGCTGGTTTCTCTTAAGCGAAATGTTTCTTATGTTCACTTACTACCTCCGAGTAACAACAATAACTTTAATCTAAACTGATTCTACATGAATTTGTTTTTACCAATTCTTAGTTTTTAAGTTATATATTAGTCTTTTTTTTCTTATAAAACATTTATCAACATATTCAAGGACTTCACTAGCTATTTTATTAAACTTTTTCTGGTAAAATTCATCTTAATATTCTACCATGGTGACCTTTGGATTCTATATAATTTATGTAAGATAATCTCGAATGAAATTTTATCTAACAAGTAATCATACCTCCTAAAGATTAATCTAGCAAAAGGATAGTTTGTCTTGTCCCCTATGCATTTTCACCTATGCATTCTTTAAGTACAATCAAATGTTGATTCTCTAATTTTATATCTATGACTATATTATTTCACACCTGATTGTGAAGTCTTCTTGTATATTCTAGCAAAAACCTAAGATCAAAAATTTGTAATTGATTTATTTTTCTTAATGATATAGCCCAAGGTGTTCTCTAATCTTCTCTAAATTTGTCCTACCCTATATTGTTAACTAAACTTTTAGAATTGTCACCAATCTAAAGTCATTTCTTTTACAATATTCAAACTAAGCTATTGTTTCTTTGCTAGTAACTACATCTGAAGATGATGCAATTATTCTAGTGCTAAATTCATATAAACTGAATGCATTTTTTTAATAATGTCTATCATGTGAATTTTAAGTGAAAACAAATACCAATAGCCTAAATTTGTGTTTTACAAAAAGCGATGTTACTCTATCCCTAGATTTTAGGTTACATAGTTGTTGATCTTCATATGAGACATCAATGAGCCTATTTTCTTCATCTATGATGGTTCGTCTTCAACCTTGCCTAGCGGGTCTTTATCTTCTGCTATAATTATATTTGCACACTAGTAGCAAAGCTTAAATATAATATGGTTATTTTACGATCGAATTTCCCTTAAAACTAAATGTTTCTTATGTTCACTTGCTACCTATGAGTAACAACAATATATAACATTTAATCTAAATTGATTCTACATGAATTTGTTTTTACCAATTCCTAGTTTTTAAGTTAAATATTAGTCTTTTTTTTTTCTTATAAAATGCTTATAAACCTATTCAAGGACTTCACCCATTATTTATTAAACTTTTCCCAATAAATTCATCTCAATATTCTACTATAACCTTTGGTTTCTATATAAATTACATAAGATAATCTCAAATAAGAATTTATCTAACACAAGTAATAGTATCTCCTAAAGATTAATCTAGCAAAAGGATAGTTTGTCATTTTCCCTTTACATTTTCACCAATGCATTCTTTAAGTATAATCAAATATTTATTTTCTAATTCTATATCTATGAATATAAGATCTTACACATGATTGTGAAGTCTTCTTGTAGAATCTAGGAAAAACCGAAGATTAAAAATTTGTAATAAGACCTACTTTTCTTAATGTTATGCCAAAGGGGTTCTCAAATCTTCTCTAAATCTATCTTGTCCTAAATTGTATTACAAAATTATAGGATAGCCACCAATCTAAAGTCATTCCTCTTACACTATTCAAACTAAGCTATTGCTTCTTTGTTAGTAACTAAATCTAAACATAATGCAATTAACCTAGTGATAAATTCCCATAACTAAATGTTTTTTTTTTTTTTCAATGTTGTTTTTCATATGAATTATTAAGTGAAGACAAATACCAATAGTCTAAATTTGTTTTTTAAGAATAAATGTTACTCTATCCCTGGATTTTAGATTAAAAAATTGTTGACCTTTATATGAGACCTTAATGAGCCTAATAAAGGTTTCTTCTACTCTGTTCGTCTTCAACTTTGCCTAGTAGGTCTTTATCTTCTGCTATTATGACATTTGCCTACTATATAAATTACTTCGATTGTCCTAAGTAAAATATAAATCTAATCGTACCAAGATAAATAAAACTTATTTTATCTCCTAAAGAAAATAACTATAACCTAAAGTAAGTTTGTGTCTATAGACTTATAAGATAGCTATTATTCTAAAGTCTTACTAAACTATAACATAAATAAGTTAACAAGTTTCCTAGAAGTAAAGCCTAACTATAGTGTTGTTATTCTACTATTGATTTCCGTTAAGCTAAATGTCTCTTCTGTTCGCTTACTACCTTTGAGTGACAATCATAACCTTTAGTCTAAATTGATTCTATATGAATTTGTTTTTCTCAATTCCTAGTTAAGTTAAATATTCATCCTTTTTTCAACGTTCATCAAGCTATCCAAGGAATTCACTTGTTAATTTTCTTAAACTTTGTCCAGTAAATTTGTCTTAATATTCTACAATGGTGACCTTTGGTTCCTATTAACTTACGTAACATAATCTCAATTAAGATTTTAACTAATCCTACTTGCGGTACACATAATTAATCCTACCTCCCAATAATACGGCAAAAGAGCAATTTTTCATTTTTCTTAGGACTTTTCACCTATGCATTCTAGAAGTTTAATCAAATATTGATTTATTAATTCTGCATCTAAGACTGTAGATCTCACAAAACATTTGTGAAGTCTCCTAGTATAATCGATCAAAACCCTAAGATCAAAACTTTGTAATTGACATAATTTTCTTAATGTTACAGCCTAAGGTATTCTCTAATCTACTTTATATCTATATTATCCCAAATCGTATTGCAAGCTTATAGGATTGCCACCAATCTAAAGTCATTTCTCTCACAATATTCAAACTAAGCTATAGCTTCTTTGCTAGTAACTAAATCTAAACATGATGCAATTCACGTATTGTTATGTTCCCATGAACAAAATAAAGACAGCATCAAGAAGAAACAAACCGCAAGAGTTCGAAAGGCATCATACATTCCAAGCATCTGAAAATCACACAGCTCCTCCAGAAACTGGAAGACATAAATGCCAACTTTAGAATATTAAAATGAAAAACGTATTAGTTAAATCTTTATTCTTGAGTGTGAAGGGGCATTTGGATGATTTAAAAAAATGTGACTTTGGTTGCATTTCTATAACGAGTAATAATAAAAACAGAAAAATCAGTAAGAAGTTAAGGAAACTCATATTTGTCTAGATTAAAATTTGAGGAAATGGAAGAGGTTAGAAACATGAAAATCCTGCCTAGTAGCAAGAAGGATACAGAAAGAACATACAAAGTCTCTGGTTCAGTTTATCAGCACGTAGAACCCTTGTTTTAACTGCCATCATAACATATATCCAGGTCAAACACAAACAAAGCAAAAGGGATCCATAATCCAATTCTAAATAACAATAAGGACAGTTTTTCCTCCCTTACCTGATTTGCTTCATAACTCGTAGCCACTAAAAAGATGGAACTGCAGAGAAAAAAGGATAGGCAATGGACATCCGATGCAGAAGAGAAGTATGTGTATCTCTTCCATCAGCATTGATGTATTTCCATCTTTATCATTCCATTGCACATAAAATGTACATCACAGTATAAAGACAACTTTCAAACTGGTTAGTAATCAGTAAAAGCCATCACCAAATTTCCTTGCTTCACTTGAAACATAAAAAATGTAAATTGAAGTAACACAGCTAGTCAAAAGAGTTAATGAGGTATGTGAGGTAATAAACAGCATATTTAATAGAAAAAATTTACAAAAACATTACTACTTGATCAAGAAAACAGTTCAATCACAATATATATACAGAGCCAAACTATTTCATGTCCATACCTCACAGAGAAGGCAACTAACTGCTTTTTGCCTTGAAAGCTTTTTAAGTGCCCATTGAGACGAACATACATTCCATCTCTATTTCAAAGTTGAAAAAAATCAGAAGAGCATTTTGATGTTATAGCATATAATCATGGCATAAATCATAAATAAAACTTGCAAAACTTGACAATATAAAAATAGAAACAGACAAAAAATTAAAGAAAAAGTCTCACTCCACAGCCTCAATTTCCTTTGTGTCGAAAACCTCGCTTGCCCTATTAAAATAATTGAGCATAAATCAAAACTAAAAATACGCATGATTTGAAGTGGAATTAAAATTTTCTGGAATACATATAGGCATTGTTCACTTTGTGTTTTTTCTCCCCTGAAAGCATCAATTACATTGACTTATACTCCAAGAAGAAAAACAGCATTTCAGAAGTTCTAACTAAATAACAAAAGCATACATCAACTACATTTATATTGCAAATCATATATTACCATCTTTTGCATACAATTCGCCCAGTTCCATCATCTAGAGTGAAAGTAACATCAGAAGCCCTTTCTTCTTTGCTGAACACTATTCCAACCAACGTAACCTAGATCAACACTATTATTTAAAAAAAATGATAAATCCCACTATATATCTCCGATATTAAAACTAAATTCTCAAGCGTTTTATATATTCATAATATGTAAAGTGTCATGAGAGGGTCACAGGATTAGTACATTGGTGACCTCTGAGCCGTTGACCACAAAATTTGATTTGTCATCACCCGACTGCGAAGCTTCACTTATAAGCTTCACTGTCAATGGTGATAAAACAGAGGCTACAATTGTGGATGAAGACTCGGAAGCTACAGCTCAGTAATACTCTGGCATGATAGCAAAATATGGAAACAAATCAGTAGTTAAAGGCTTGCGTGATAACAGCCATGATCTGGTGAAATCTTGTAATTAATGTTAGCATGATTATAGCATTGTTTATAGCAGTTTACAATGTAACCATTATTTTGTAAAGATTATAAATACAGAGTATCACAGCCTGTTGTAGGTGTGACGAATTTCCCTACTCCTCTGCTTTTAATTTTTCTTCTTGGTATCAGAGCATAACAATGTCTTCCGCTTCGTTGAATGTTAGTAACTTTGTCACTCTCAGGCTTCGACCTGAAAACTACCCATTATGGCGTGAGCAAGTGCTTGCACTTGCTGAAAGTCAAGAGATTACAGATTTTCTCACAGGAGAAAAACCATGCCCAGTTGCTGTACTTCCAGCACTTGATGGTAACAACCCAACTGCTAATCCAGCATACAAAAACTGGAAAACAGCAGATCGTCTACTCAGAGGGTGGATTATTGGCACTCTTGCAGAAGAGGCACTCAGCCATGTTATTGGTCTTGATACCTCTACACAAGTTTGGGTAGCACTCAAGGAAGCGTATGCCCAGTCTTCTCAAGAAAGACAATTTCAATTGAATCAGCAACTCACGTATATGAAGAAAACTCAGGAAGTGCCTCTCAACGAATATATTCGAAAGTTCAAAGAGGTATGTGACAGCCTTGCTGCCATTGGGCACATGGTTGCTGACAAAAACAAAGTTTTTTCATTGCTTACAGGACTTGGTGCACGCTATGAACCCTTCACTACATCAATGCTTAAACCACCAATGCCATCCTATAATTAGGTAATTCCTTTACTGCAAAGCTATGAAACAAGGCTGAATCTTCACTCTCCTGAATCGTCTCAATATACTACCTTTTATGCTGACAAAAATGTCCCCAAATATGCACCCAAAAATCCCAAACCCACCAACAATTTTTCCTCCAAAGGAAGAGGCTTCATCCTTGCTAATCAGCCCAACAAAAACTTCAGCAATGGCTCTTCTTCAAACGCATCTCGTCGAGAGAATCACAGGGACATCACCTGTCAGATTTGTGGCAAGAAAGGACACCCTGCTATCCGTTGCTGGTATAGGTTCAATCATTCTATTCAACCAGACAACTTGCCTCAAGCATTCACAGCCTTGCAACTTAATTCTGAGGCACACCATGAGGAATGGACATCAGATACTGGCGCATCAGTACATATGACTTCTAATGAAGGTAACCTATATAATCTCAGACCTTATACTAGTAATGATCATGTTATGTTAGGAAATGGGGAATTTCTAAAAGTAACTCATACTGGTGATGCACTACTCGGGTTTGGACAGTCTGCTATTGTTCTAAGAAATGTTCTTCTTGTACCTGAGTTAGAAAGGAGTCTATTATCTATTGGAGAACTCACATCTGATTATTTAGTAACTTGTGAATTTTCTAATAATGATTTTGTGATTAAGGACAAGTTGACACAACAGGTGCTGATGAGGGGGCTTAAAAGGGGTAATTTGTATGCAATTCGAGCACCTCCAGTGGCTTTGTTCTCTTCTAGATTTCGGGTTGCTTCAGAAGACATCTGGCACCAACGTCTCGGGCATGTTCAAGCTGCTGCAGTGGCTCATCTTCGAAACAAAGCATTAATAAGGACTATTTCCAATAAAGACAATTCCATATGTGAGAGTTGTCAATTAGGAAAATTATCTAAATTGTCTTTTTCTTTATCTGAATCAAAAACTTTTGCACCTTTTGAGAAAGTTCATATTGATTTATGGGGACCTGCTCCTCTTACCTCTTTGCATCAGTTTCGGTTTATGCTGCTATAGTTGATGATTTCACAAAGTTTGTATGGTTAATTCCATTAAAGCAAAAATCAAACTTCTATGATCAATTCATTCTCTTTGAAAAGTTTGTACAGAGACAATTTGTTGGCCTTATTAAGATAATTTAGACAGATGGGGGAGGAGAATTTGTTAATCACATATTCAAAACACATCTTCAAAATTCAAGAATCAAACATCAACTATCATGTCCTTATACACCTGAGCAGAATGGTATGGTTGAAAGAAGGCATCGGGTAATTAGAGAACTCAGCATTACTATGTTAATTCATGCCAATGTTCCTAAAATTTTCTGGGTTGAAGCTTTTACCACTGCAATGATTCTAATCAGTCGTGTTCCAACAACCACACTACAATGGGACTCACCCTTCTATCGGTTGTATGGCAAGAATCCTGATTATTCCTCCTTAAGAGTTTTTGGCTCAAGGTGTTTCCCATACATATGGGACTCTAAGAAGGATAAATTTGATAACAAATCACTACCATGCGTGTTTATGGGTTACAGTGATAGACACAAAGGTTACAATTGTTATTCTCCATCAACCAAAAGGTTTTATGTTTCCAGACATGTGATCTTTAATGAATCATCTTTACCTTACAAAAATTTCAATGTTCTCTTTGACACAGCTGCTGGAATACAACCAATAACCTTTCGAGAATTTGACTCATGGTCTATTTCCTCTTGTGAGCACTCAGATCATTTCACTCAACCTACAGAAGAAGCACCACTACTAACACCAAATGCTCAACTCAAAACAACAATCACTATAGGTGATCTTGTGTCGGGTTCACATTCAATCACTGCTGATAATCCCTCTCAGTCCACTGCCACTGAACACTTTGAGGAACCCAATTCTGTTGTTGACAATACTACTTCTGTCTCCACAATTGCTCCAACTTCTCAAAACTCTGGAAGCAATCCTCATTCCATGATTACACGCAGTCAGGTGGGAGTTCGAAAACCAAACTCCAAGTATGCACTTCTCCATGACTTTGATTCAATACCAAAGGAACCAAGGTCTCTTAAATCTGCTCTCTCACACTCTAGATGGAAACAAGCAATGGTTGATGAACTTGCTGCTCTACAACAACAAAAAACATGGAACTTGGTGCCTCGTACAACATCAATGAATGTTGTTGGATCCCGATGGGTTTACAAAGTAAAACTCAAAGCTGATGGCAACGTGGAACGTCTCAAAGCGAGATTAGTTGCTAAAGGGTATAATCAATTACCTGGGATTGATTTTACTGAAACCTATTCACCTATTGTGAAGCCAGGAACTATTCGGTTGATCTTATCCATTACAACTGTAAAAAAGTGGGATATCATACAACTTGATGTAAAAAATGCTTTCTTGCATGGGTTTCTAATCGAGGAGGTATTCATGGAGCAACCCCCAGGTTTTAAAGACTCAAATTTTCCAGATTCAGTTTGTCATTTGAACAAAGCAATCTATGGACTTAAACAAGCTCCAAGAGCTTGGTTTGACAGATTCAGCTCCTACCTTCTACAATACGGTTTTCAATGCAGCACCACTGATCCAAGTCTATTTATTTGCCATTCCGATCAAGGCACTTTGGTTCTCTTACTTTACGTTGATGATATTATATTAATAGGTTCCTCTTTGAGTTTAATACAGGATTTCATCAACAAATTACATGTAGAATTTGCAATGAAAGATCTCGGAGTCCTCCATTATTTTTTGGGAATTCAAGTTTCGACCGTTTCAACTAGGTTGTTTTTACAACAAACCAAGTATGTTGTCGACATCCTGGAACGCAGTGGGATGCATGAATCAAAACCTATCAAAACCCCACTGTGTACCAAAACCAAACCTGACCCTGATTCCCCTTTGCATCCCGATCCTCATGCATATCGATCTCTGGTGGGAGCCCTTCAATACTTAACCTTGACACGGCCAGACCTCTCTTTTAGTGTGAATTATGTCTCCCAATTTATGCATGCGCCTACTAAGTCACATTTTGGTTTGGTAAGATGAATTCTACGCTATGTCAAAGGGATAATTAATCTTGGTCTTCATATACAAGCTTCCAGTTCTCTTGATCTTTATGGATTCTCAGACTCTGATTGGGCTAGGTGCAACGTCACTAGGAGATCAACAATTAGTTATTGTACCTACTTAGGAAGCAACATCATTTCATGGTGCTCAAAGAAGCAAGCAACAGTCTCAAGGTCAAGTTCTGAAGCTGAATATAGAGCACTTGCTCAAGCAGTAGCTGAAATTATGTGGCTCACTTTCATCCTTCATGATCTGGATGTTCCCCTATCTCAAGCTCCAATTCTGTTCTGTGATAATATGAGTTCACTGTTCATGACAATTAATCCAGTATTCCATGCAAGAAGCAAGCATATTGAAGTGGATTACCATTATATCAGGGAACGTGTGTCACTCGGGTTACTTGTTACCAAACACAGTCTCAAATTGCCAATGTCTTCACAAAACCTCAACTAAAACCAGCTTTAGAATTGCTACGTGACAAATTGTGCATTTCAACAATGCTCAATTTGAGGGGGGATGATAAAATAGAGGCTACAATTATGGATGAAGACTTGGAAGCTACAGCTCAGCAATACTCTGGCATGATAGCAAAATATGGAAACAAATCAGTAGATAAAGGCTTGCGTGATAACAGCCATGATCTGGTGAAATCTGGTGAAATCTTGTAATTAATGTTAGCATGATTATAGCATTGTTTATAGCAGTTTACAATGTAACCATTATTTTGTAAAGATTATAAATACATAGTATCACAACCTATTGCAGGTGTGACGAATTTCCCAACTCCTCTGCTTTTAATTGTGGATGAAGACTCTTCCTTTGGAGGAAAAATTGTTGGTGGGTTTGGGATTTTTGGGTGCATATTTGGGGACATTTTTGTCAACATAAAAGGCAGTATATTGAGACGATTCAGGAGAGTGAAGATTCAGCCTTGTTTCATAGCTTTGCAGTAGAGAAATTACCTCATTATAGGATGGCATTGGTGGTTTAAGCATTGATGTAGTGAAGGGTTCATAGCGTGCACCAAGTCCTATAAGCAATGAAAAAACTTTGTTTTTGTCAGCAACCATGTGCCCAATGGCAGCAAGGCTGTCACATACCTCTTTGAACTTTCGAATATATTCGTTGAGAGGCACTTCCTGGGTTTTCTTCATATACGTGAGTTGCTGATTCAATTGAAATTGTCTTTCTTGAGAAGACTGGGCATACGCTTCCTTGAGTGCTGCCCAAACTTATGCAGAGGTATCAAGACCAATAACATGGCTGAGTGCCTCTTCTACAAGAGTGCCAATAATCCACCCTCTGAGTAGACGATCTGCTGTTTTCCAGTTTTTGTATGCTGGATTAGCGGTTGGGTTGTTACCATCAAGTGCTGGAAGTACAGCAGCTGGGCATGGTTTTTCTCCTGTGAGAAAATATGTAAGCTCTTGACTTTCAGCAAGTGCAAGCACTTGCTCACACCATAATGGGTAGTTTTCAGGTCGAAGCCTGAGAGTGACAAAGTTACTAACATTCAACGAAGCGGAAGACATTGTTATGCTCTGATACCAAGAAGAAAAATTAAAAGCAGAGGAGTTAGGAAATTTGTCACACCTGCAACAGGCTGTGATACTCTGTATTTATAATCTTTACAAAATAATGGTTACATTGTAAACTGCAAAAGATCAAACAATAAAAGCTCCATAATTGGTCTATTTCATTACAGTTTATCAGCAATCAGATAATTAAACAAAACCTAAAACATGTAAAGAGAGCCTCGACAAGATCTCTCCTTTGATTAACATATTATCGAGCACTAAATAGTCAACAAGCTATGATTAATTCAATGTTCTCGAATTTCATAAACCAAGCAACAAGTGTAAGAAATAATAAACACAAACACATAATTGAAGAGTAAAAACTTACTCTCGCTGCTGAAGGATTGGAAACCGCTAGCTGAGACTGAGAAGGCATGAATCCGCCGCCGGAGAAGGCGGAGGTCGCGTCAAATTGGATGCTTGAAAACATTCTGAATATCAGAGCACGAAATTCTTTTAGTTTGAGGAATTAAAATTCTTTGATGGTTTTAGGGTTTTTCCCGCCAATTGGCTTTAAATTTCCCGTGTGTGATTTGGGCTGGGCTATAGTTAGTCCAGCCCTTCTTCCTTCATGGGATCTGGTAAATCGTTCCAAATCTAGTACGGGATGGATCTTTTTTATTTTTTATTTAGGTTCAAATTTCATAGTAAATTTATGAACAACTAATAATAAATATTTTTCAGTAAATTCTAAAAATTGTTTCACCATCTTGGATTATTGCGACAAATTTGACTGTCTAATACGGTTCAGTAAAATACCAATTAGATTAAATTAAGGGATATTACTTAATTACCCATAATTTTTACCAAATAGAATGACTAACTTCCACTACCGTAAACCAGATTAACCAACTAATTTAATTTATTACCATCATATCCCTCTTTACATACACTCTACACTTCTCCCTAGGGGTGTGCAAGAATTTAGGGTAGATTCAGTACCCAAGGTTTTGGTTCATACCCACAATCGAGCCTATAAGGGTCGGTTTGGTTCTCAAAAATTAGAACCAGGAATCAAACTAAATTAAATTTTTATAAAAATATGGGGACCATTTGAAAATTTGATGATTCAATTAAACAAGCAAAAAAGGAAAACGCAAAATTCAATCTACGATTTGCAGAAGCCCTAAGTTTAGTTCCATATAAAGAACGCCATTGAGCTTCACGAAGCAAAGCCTCTAACGATTAGATGTGTTCCATGGAGTAAGCAGAAGAATCTGAGGCTCAAATGGGGTTGTTTTTGTTATTAGATGGGGAGGAAGTGGTGCCATGAAGGTTTTGCCATGGTGTCTTTTGATTTGAAACAAAATGAATTCTTTTATGATTTTAGGGTTAGGGTTTAGTGGAAAGTTGTGATTGCAGTTCTTTGTAATTATTGTAAACAATTGGGGGTGTATTTATAATTTTCACATGGGATATTTATCATTTTTCTGATTAATAGGGGTGTATTGTGATTTTCCCATGTACTTGGAACTGGAGCAAACATGTGTTTTAGGTTCCAGTTCCAAACATTCTCGAATGATGACGAAGGAAGTAGCGAATTGTTTGGGGATTAGAGAAGGTTTCTCTCTCTCTCATCTGATCAGATCTTCTCTTTTTGTCTCTCTGGTTCAAAAGCAAATCGAGATAGAAGATGCACCAAATTTGAATTTTAATGTTTGAATTAGAGATAAATGAATTTGAAATTATGAATTTGGTCTAGAAATAAAGCGAGAGAGAAAATCAACCAAATTTAAATTTTGATGTTTGAATTATACATAAATAGATCTGAATCTAGCCCAGAAATAAAGCGGGAGAGAAAATGAACCAAATTTGAATTTTAATGTTTGAATTAGACATAAATAGATCTAAATTGGGTTGACCCGATGCCCATGGGTTGGGCATTAGAGAGAAAGTGAGAAACCTCATTAGTTTGCACTCGCCTACAGTTTGAAAATAACCATTTACATACCTTAAGATTTTACTTAATTATCATTGACTTCCATCTATAATATCACTTACCACATCAATTGATTTACACGTTACTATTTAATTTAGGAAGATAAATGTTTGGATAGCACAAGTTATTTTCCTCCCTTAAAACCACATTGAATATGAGGAATTGTAAAATTCTTATTAATTTATAGTTATTAAGGTTTAGAGTTTAGGATTTATGTATTAAGTTTCAGGGTGAAAAAAAAGGCTTGAAAAAATCTATGATTTTCCCACAATCAATATCTATTACAGGCCAAAAAACGAAAAAACAAAGGTTAAAGCATGCACACTTATATGAGGTTTTTCGCCTTGTTTTTGTTATAGATATTCAAGATTCGAATACGTTATATGGCTCACCTCATAGAATGATAGATGGTAAAGAAAATGCTTAAAAAATAATCTATGATTTTCTCACAATTAAGATTTATTACAGGCCAAAAGAAGGGAAAAATTGAAGGGTGTGCGCACTTGCATTTGCCTTATTTAGTTCAACAATAAATAACATTGTGACTGATATGTTACTAATCAATTGGCGCAACGCCAGTTTAATAGATTAAAGTTGGAATGCAAAGGAAGAAGGATAATACAATTTTTTCAAAAATTCAAGTCGGACCGTGGCTCGGCTTAGGCTCTAGTCTCTACTATGCTGCACCCCTGTTTGTGGAGATGGTGGAGTGGGTGAGGAGTGTTTATATGTTTTTGCGAGGTTTGATGAAGAAGTCTTGAAATGAAGAGATTAGAAAATTTTATTTGTAAAATTATATAAAATTAATAAATAAAGTTAATATACTAAAAATGAAAAATAAAAAGGCAAACTACCATACCTCTAAAAACTTTCGTTTTAATATATTAAAAAGTGATGAAAAATTAAGTATATCATTTATCAGTTAATGTCATATCAAATCTTCATCAATGTCCATCAAGATTGGATCTTTTATTTTAAACTTGAGACCTGGATATATAGTAACCAAAACCCGAACCACCAATCAAAAGTTTTGTTATTGGGCATGTCTTCTAAGTAAAGATGGATCATTTATTGACCCCTAAATTGACTAAAATACGGATTTTAAAAATATTTATTTATAAACATCAACTGTATTAATCTACTTTTTGGAATTCCGTCAAGTAAACAATATGGGTTTTAGCGCTTTGCTAATGGAAAGTAAAGGGGCATATATCCACTTTTTAGTAAAGAAAGAGGGCTACTTCACGACTTGCTACTAATTATTGAACGGGTTCGCAGCGAGTTGAGTCTATAGTGACGGAACATTTCCGCCGGGGTTAATGGGTGCTGGGCCTGGAACTTTTGGGGGCTGGAAGCTGGATATCAAAATGGAGGATGGGGTTTATAAGAAGTTTGTTGGGGTAATGGATACGTGGGCTGTTCATTTTGGGCAGTGGCGGGCTGATTGGTATTGGGCTGGGTAGGGTGTGCTGGGCGTGTGGCGTCTTTTTTGGACAGATGGTATGGGTTCTTTGTATGGGCTGCTTGTGTGGGCCGATTGCACGGGCAGGCTGTGAGGGCTGTTTGCGTGGAGAGAAACGTGGGCCAGCTGCGCCAGGCTTTGTTCCTTTCTGCATGGGCCTCCTTATTTTGCGTGGGCTGTTGGCCTTTAGATTTATTCTTCCTTTGATGGGCTCCCCTTTGGGTTGTGCTGAGTCCTTCTTTGAGACTATAAGGCCTTGTATAAATATTTTTGTTTTTGTTAAGGCTTCTTTTTGGTTGGGCCTTTGTGTAGAGGACTGTAAATCCTAGGCCTTTTTTGATTAGCTTTTCCTATGGGCATGTGCGTGCCCAAGGGCTCAGCGAAAAAGAGAGTTCCCTCTCCTTAGTCCCTCCCGTTAAATTTGAATTTCAATGGGCTTTCTTGGGCCTCTTGAAATTAGGGCACCTTGTTAATTTTAAAATGTTGACATAAATCTTTCATATAAACTGGTATAAAGTTTAGATTTTTATCAATCAATAATAAATTCAAAATTTAATGAGATAAATTTCCTTGAATGTAATTGTTTATGAAGAAATTTAATAATTAAAATTAAAGTTTTTCATATAACTAAATTATAGTCTCTAGCTCTCATAATCCTTTTTTGTTGCCATATGAATAATAAATTAATGGCTCTTGTGACTTGTCTTGTCCTTCTCCATTTTATAATGTGGGTCAAAATCTTTCACTACTAATGCCTTCTGCTTGCAATATTTATGTCATTGTAATTGTATGATTGCGGTCCTCTCCTCCTACTCCCACGCCCACAACAACAATTACGCACATGCAAAATTTGAAATTTCCATACAAGTGTACGATGATGTAGAAAGAATAAACACCAACGTAAAATCAATTATTTACGAACAAACACGTACAGTCGAATATATTAACCATTTGAACATACGTCAATTCATATATAATTTAAGAGATTTAGTATAAAAGAAAATTGTATTGCCGTATAATAATACTTTTATAATTAACTTTTAGGACTGCATTATTTGTATTTCGGACCGGATCATTAAGTATGTCAGTTACAGCGTGACATGACGTAACAGGACAGTACAGACATCTCAGTCTAAGTCTAATCATCACGTTTGCGTCATGAAACGTGGTCCAGATCTCCAGTATCTTCATGCAATCTGCAAATTCTAAGCACGCGCGTTTTACATTTCCTTCTTCTTTAATTCTTGTTCACTCATTCTGTAGAACACAGATTTTCAACCTAAGTGGAGAATCGCTTTAAGAAATTATATATAAGCGTTCAGTCTCGATAGAGAATTCACTAAGCCACCCATTTTGATGGAAAAGCCAAGGTCCGATCACGTCGTTCTCTTCATTGATCAACAAAACCCTAAACCTCCAGCCACGGAAACAGAGCTCAAGGACCAGATAGCCGCAGAGCAGAAGTCCCAGAACTCAGCAAGAACGAAAATTCTTCGCCGCCTCAACTTCTCCAAACCAAAAGCTCGATTACTAGAGTTTAACTATCCGGCAACTGGCCACAAACCAATTCCTGAATCTGACGAAATGGAATCTTTTCTGGAAAAGTACTCTTCGAGCGAAGATGACGACGACGATGAAGATGTCGAGTGGGAGAACGAATTTGATGAAGGCGATGGAGGAATGGGAGAAGATCAGGTAAGAAAGAGAAGGAGGAAAATTAAGTGGAGACTCTTGGTGGAATGGGTATTGTTCATCGTTATTATGACTTGTTTGATTTGTTCTCTCACTATAAAATCAATCAAGAACGAGATCAAATGGGGAATGGAGACATGGAAATGGTGCTTAATGGTGATGGTAACCTTCTGCGGCCGCCTAGTTTCCGGCTGGTTGATGACTTTCATTGTCTTCTTAATCGTCCGCAACTTCATGCTAAGAGAAAAGGTTTTGTATTTCGTCTATGGACTCAGAAAAAGCATTCAAAACTGCCTCTGGTTGGCCCTCGTTCTTATCGCATGGAGCATGTTCAACGGGAAAGTTCGTGAAAATAACAAGATTCTCAAGAAAGTCTTTCAAGCTCTCGTTGCAGTGCTCCTCGGTGCAACGATTTGGCTTATTAAAATCATATTAGTGAAATTATTGGCCTCATCGTTTCACGTTACAACATATTTTGATCGAATGAAAGAGAGTGTGTTTCATCATTATATACTGGATACGCTTTCGGGGCCGCCGATGGACATGGACGGATTGATGAGTAAAGAGAAGCAAGGTCATAATCTGACGGAATCGAAGTCAATGCCGGCGAGATGGAAGGAGGGGAAGTTGAAGGAAGCGAGGAATGCTTACAAATCTAAGAAGTTTGGGTCGAGGAAGATTGACATGGAGAAGCTGAGGAGGTTGAGCACGGAGAGGAGGGCTTCGGCTTGGAGCGTGAAGAAGCTGGTGAATTACATAAGGTCATCAGGTTTATCAACCATTTCTAAGACTGTTGACGAGTTTGGAAACGCTGAATCGGAGATTACTAGCGAATGGGCAGCGAGAAACTCTGCGCAAAGGATCTTCAAGAACGTAGCTAAACCGGGTGCCAAGTAACTAATTTATCTCACTCTAAAATTAATTTAATTAGCGTTCATGATCAGCTATATATTTAGTTAACATGTATTCAAGGAGTTAGATTTAATTTAGTGCTTCAAGCGGCTAATGAAATTAATCGATTCATTGACAAAAAATAAAGAGAACTACAGATCTGAAATTGATAAGTGCGAAACTTGATAGATGTTCATACCGCGCATACATTTATATTGAATTTTTCCATAGTTAGCTTAAGAATTTATAATAAAAATCTTATAATTTATTAAGTATATATGGCTTAGATATGTAATAATTCTTGTACACAAACAGTCATCGATCTTAAGAATTATTGGTAGCTCTAGAATGCAGAGATAGCAACATTAGCCACGCTAGAGTATTAAAATCTTGGCGTTGCATGGCATCATAAAATCAGTATCAGATTAGCTAGCCATTATTCTCACAGTATTGTATAATATATATATTCGTATAAGTTTACTTATTCCTGACATTGCTGGCTAAGCACGCACTATTTATAACCTGAGTGTGTTTTTCATTAGACAGCTAAACAAATTTTTAATTTTTAATATATTTTATAATTATTTCATAAGATGAAGTCTTTAGAAGTGGGATTTCAATGGAGTGGCCAATATGACCATATTTTTACTCTTTTTGTCTTGCCATTTATTTTGACTCACGATACCCACTTGTTTCTGGATTTAGAAAGTGGGGTTTCAGGCAGCCACGAGTGAGAAAAAAAAAAGGCTAGTGCTTTAGGGTGTCCACTTCTCATCAAATTCTTCCCCATATACACAGACACCTGATCGTGACAAATATATATTCTCAGTGTGCATAAGTTTAGTACAAATTAGTGGTGTTCCAAGTAGTGAATTGATCTGTGTTGATGGTGGGGTTCTTTTTCATCCCGTATAGAATGGTCCTGATGTGGTGTTCACTTGTCATTGTAAATGTCTCAAATATTCCCCACTGTGGGCGTGGTCTGCCAGAAAGTCGGACACTGCCCACTTTCTGATCATTAGAGTCTCTATATTCTTCCAGTTAATTAAGTGGAAGAAAATAGTTAAGGGTTTTCTTGGATAGGATTATTTTAGTGTGGGACTCCATATTAATGAATATATATGATCATGGAAATTCATGAATATTCTTGGCCAAGAGTTCTATCAGGTGCAGATTTCCTAATCAAGTTCGGCGTCATTAACAAAATCGTTTTCATGCAGAAATAAATTAAAAAAAACGCGGTCGTTCCATGTTGGGACAGAAACTGAGTGGGATCCTTCCCCTGAGATAAGGGAATGGGAAAACTATTATAAACTCTCTTATTCATGCATGCTTTGCCACCGAATCATAAGATCCAACTATCTTTAAGGTCATCACCATAAAGGCCTTTTAAGACTATCACAACTCTTGTTTTTTTTTTTTTTTTTTTTATATATATATATATATATATATATGTGTGTGTGTGTGTGTGTGTGTGTTGTGTGTGTGTGTGTGAATGCATAATTCGTTAAATAATTTTTTTTTTTAAGTTGATTACCAATTCATATTTTTTTAAAGTGCGAATATTCATGTATGAGAATGCATAAATTGTTGAGTACTTGAGTTATTGTAGAATCAATGGCTGCGTTTGTTTCAGTTTTGGGAATACTACTTTTAGTATTCCCAAAAAGTTAAACAGTAAAATATCCAAAAAGTCATATTTTGAGATAATACTCCCAATATTATTCAACCTTTTTAAACCTCTTAAATTTGATAATTTAATTAAATACCCCTAAATATTTTTTTAAAAATTACAAAAACACCCCAGTAATTCATATTTACCAGATTCCGGCCACCACTGCCAGAAATGGCCGGAATCTGTTAGGATGGCGCACTACCGGCTGAATCTGGCCGGTAGTACGCCGATCTAGCCTTTTCCGGTCAGATCCACGGTGGATATGGCGGAAAAGGCCAGATCTAAGGCCAAAGATCTGGCCGTTGACAGCCAGATCTTTGGCCATAACGGTTTATAACGACGACCAACAAACGGTTGTCGTTGACCATCAACAACGACCGTTTGTTGGTCGTCGTTGACGGCCAGATCTGGCCTTTGTCGGCCAGATCCACGGTGGATCTGGCCGGCAAAGGCCATATCGGTGCACGACCGGCAAGATCCAGTCGGTCATGCGCCAATACGGTGAACCCGGCCACCCTCCGGCGGTGGTGGCCGGCTGTCCGTATTTGACATTGGGTTGGGGGTGTTTTTGTTAACTTTTAAGATTTTATTATAGGGGGTGTTTTGTAAATAAACAAATATAGGGGGTCTTTTATAATTTATAAATCTTACATCGTAATACCCGCCCAATTCAACTTTTTTTTAACTTTTTTCAAAAAACTTTTCTCAAAACCCCCAAATTTTGAACCAAACGGAGCCAATAATACGTACCATTTCTTTTTCATTTTTGTTGTAGGTATATTGAAGAAGAAGATTTAATGAGATTTTTGACACGTGTTGAGATTCACACTATATTTGCACTCTTCGAAGGGGCCCTTGAGACTGGAAGGATCACAAAATCTTCATTTAGAAATTGGGTGGTATGAGTCTTTCCTCATTATTATTGAGTCAATTTCATCACAAATCTCGTTCACTATTACTTAGTATTAACCTCTGCAATATCAAGCTAATTAATGGTGTCTTTTCATCTGCAGGTTCGCGCTTATCTTGAACGAAAAGCTTTAGCACATTCTTTGAATGATACCAAAACGGCAGTTCAACAACTGCACAAATTGGCAAGTGCAATTGTCAGTATAATCATTCTTGTGATGTCTCTCATGGTTATGGAGGTGGCAACATCCAAAGTAATAGTTTTTGTCCTCACCCAATTAGTTCTCGTGGGCTTCATGTTTCGGAACACTTGCAAAATGGTCTTCGAGTCCATCGTCTTCATCTTCATCATGCACCCTTTTGACATTGGAGATCGTTGCGTCATTGATGGCGTTCAGGTTAGTACGAATCTTCTCACCATAATTCTAACTTTTTGGCATCAAACTGTTCTATCTTGAACAAAATTGATTGAACTTTTCTTTTGTAACATTAGTTGATGTTTATTTATGTTGTTTTGATAGATGATTGTGGAAGAAATGAATATATTAACGACGGTATTTCTCCGATATGATATGGAGAAAATTTATTATCCGAATGCGGTCTTGCTCACAAAGCCAATCAGCAATTTCTACAGAAGTCCAGAAATGGCTGATAGTATTAATTTCACAGTTGATATATCTACATCCATGGATTCCATCATTACGCTTAAGAAGGCGATTCAAGCGTAATCAGCTGATCTATTAATCATCTTTTAATTGAATTTCTTGATTTCGTATTAGTAAATTCAATATTTCTTCTATTATTATAAATGCAGATATGTTGAGAGCAAACCCAAGTACTGGAACCCCAGGCACTCAGTGATTGTGAAAGAAATTGACGAACAGAACAAGTTGAAAATGTGCCTATGTGTTCAACATACCATCAATCATCAAAACTATGGGGAGAGGAGTAGTCGGATATCTGAGCTTATCCTTGAGTTGAAAAAGATCCTTGAGAACCTTGGAATCAAGTATAGTCTTCTTCCTCAAGAGGTTCGTCTCAACCACGTCAACCTCGACAATTGGAGCTAAATTTCATGACATTTACTGTCTTAATTTATATATACTAATTATAGTTATTTTTACGTTTAAAATAATTATTCTAAGTGACTTCTGTAATTAATTAATTAAGTTGTGTTACTTTAATTTTAGTAATTAAGGCTGTTGTTATAAGTACGATGGAGATGACTTTAAGTAATTTGTCAAATAAGTTACCTTACTATATATTATTGTTGATTTTGATGGCCGTCTAAGTTAGAAATTAAAAATATATTTTATGAATAGAAAAACTTGCTCACACCAATTGATTCATTTGAGTCTTAAAAGTTAAAACATGTCAATTTGTCTTTCATTTAATTAAATTTTACATCCTTGATAATATTTTATCAGCTTCTTAAATCAAATGTAGAAACAGAAAACTTAGTACATATAGCAATTAAGTCGAAAAATAAAATAATGGATACATATATAATTTTGAGTTCTAGACATAGATTTTCAAATATTGTTCCATCCGAGTGTAATTCACCTCGGGATAAAGCTTTGAAGCTTCTTCATGACCCTCTTCCTTTATATCAAAGTTTGTCAAACATCCCTCGTAAAAAATATGATAAAAATGTCCCAATCCAGCCTTCGCTCCAATATCATCCGTCCCTGCAGTTAATATTTAATTAATACACAATAAATAACAAAATCTCATGCTAATTTATTGAAGTCAATTAATTAATTTACCTTTCAACATAGCTAAAATGTCTTGCCCAGAAATACTTGTCTTTTCTAGTTGTCTTCCAATAAGCTTCTCCCATTTCTCAACTAATTGTCTTTGCGATAGGATGTTTTCAGGTGGTGCCACGTACAATGTTTTGTTTAATGTTCGAGGATCATCTATTGTCTTTATTGTGTATGTCGCCACATCATCTTCGTCCATGAAAATCGCTATATGCCATTAGTACAAAAAGTCAAACATTGAAAAAATAATTCAAAATATTAATACTTACGTAATTAGAATTATATTTACGTAAGTTTTATACCTTTAACGTTGCCATCTCCATAGAGAGTGACTTTAACTCTTGGAGGAACGAGGGTGGCGAACTGAGAGAGATTGCCGGCGAAATAACCACCAAAGCAATTGGCGATGACATAAGTGAAGGGGATATTGGCATCCTCAATAGCTCTTCTAATTACCATTTTTTGATCAAATGTTTCGTTTCCTGGTTCAAGTGCGTGCTCCATTCTTGATGGGTCCATTCCAAACTCCGAAGGTAAGAAACGCTACAAAATGTCCCACAGAATAATTTATTTAGACATTAATTAGCCGTCCGAGCAATTAATAATATTCAACGAAGGATTATTACGATTAATATGATTGAAAAAGACAATTAAATTAAGCTAACGGGGGACAATTAATTGGAATATTTTACCTAATATATCAAAGTTTTATTTTCTTTTTAATTTCCTGATTTTTGTCGTTTTGGATCGTGGAAGCTTACATGATGAAGTGCACTAAGCTTGAAGCAATTAATTAGATTATCCCATCTGAGTTACTCAATTTTTTTTTAAAAAAAACACAGAGAAAGACGAATTTAGAGTTGTTGAGTTTGCTTTCTTATCAAGTCTAATTTATTGCCGGCGGTCATAATAAAGTATAAAGAACAAAAAACAATACATAGAGTCAGAGATTAGTTATATATTTTAACATAAAAGAAATTAAACTAGGTTTGAACGGACATTCACTGTCAAATTAAAGGTAGTTCACCAATTCAAATATAATACATTTAATCGAGCTCTCCAAACAATAAGCAGATTACAACTACAACGAAGAAGAAAAGGTCAAATAATAAATAATCAACAGTAATTTATACATATAATTTAAACTCATTACTCGATTTTAAAAGATTTAACAAAGAATCAAATTTTTATCAAATTTTCATATAATTGACGTAGAAACAAATTTACTTTTCAACCAAGTAATAGAACAAAATTTCAAAATTGCTTCTATTTCAATCAATATAACCCACAGCTAAAGCCAACCACTATTAAGACAAAAACACATATCCATAAATAACACCAAGAAGTAGAAATCCTACCTTAATATTTCCGGCTTCTTTGATCGCCTCAACAAGCTTCAGCTGCAACAAAATGTTGTGGCTCCGAAAATGAACTCCAGACATCGTACAAATCACAACATCAACTTTCTTCACTGCATCCACCAGGCCTTTATGATCGGAAAAGGAGCCCTCGACGAGAATGGCCCCTTCCTTTTTGAAAGATAACAGCATTTGAAGCTTTTCGATGTCGAGTCCGATCTCCGGACGCTGAAGAACATAAGTTGTGTGGCCTTGAGCTAAACTTGCCTTCACAATTCTCCTTCCTATATAACCTGTTGCCCCCACAACAAGAACTTTGCTCTTTCCCATTTTTTGGGTTGAAGATCAGTTGTGAAAGTTTAATAGCAGAGAGATGAATATATAGAGAGATTTGAGACTTGGTCGTGCATGGTTTCTCAAAAAATGAATATAATTAAGCCACGTACTCATTCATGCCTTACAAGTTAATCAACAAGTTTGTTGATTTCAATATAAAAACAATAAAATGGTTGCTTATTTATATTATTATACAAAATTTTAAAATATAAATGAAAATAATATAATCCTGCGAATTAACAACTTATTAATTTTTCAAAAGATAATTAGGGTCATTTTAATATAGAATTTAATAACATTTTTTATTTTAAAAAATGGGTGATAAAATTTTTGTATGAAAAAGCATTAGGTAAAAATGAATCAAACTGTATTTTAAAACAATTTTTGAATACAATAATGAAAACTAATGTAATATCAAAGAACGATTAAAATACGTTTTCATAATTTTCAATACGAAAACAATTTTTGAATATGGACTCAAATTTTTAATTATTAAAAATACAATTAAAAAATTAGATCGAATTTTTATTTTTTGAAACACGTATCACATAGATGGTCTTAATCTCGAAAAAGAAAATATTTTCATAAAAAATACAAGCACCACAGAGACAATTGGCGGTTAAAACAAAAGTGGAAGACTACTTCAAAAGGATAATTAAATTAAATGCGACACAGAGATACAAATTAAAAGGCCTTGTTGCGTGGATTAATAAGAGATTTTGTGAATAAATCGGGTTTATTTTTTTATTTTTTTTTGTGACTGGAGTATCTATATCAGTTTGCACGCACCTCAATTAATCATTAGGATTCTGAAGTTGATAGCCAGATAAATCTCTTTAATGACCGCCCTCATTAGCAACTCATTTTCCAGGATTCTAAAGTTGACAACCAGATAAATCTCTTCGATGGATTAAACTTAGGACCTTTTGAATAATACATTTAAGAGTCCTAATTAACTGTCAAATCACCCAATGATGGTTATAAATTAACAATATTAGTGACCTCAATTTGGACACAAACAATCCGTAAGACGACATTAAAATTAAGGAAAATTCCATATAGAACAAGTTGGTGTAACTGGTTGCAAATTGAATCTAAATATAATACTTATTATTCTATTAGAAATAATTATTTAACCAATATAATTAATTAAGCTAAATGGCACGTCAAGAGATAAAGGGTCAAATTAAGATTGGTGGTTCATTTGTCTCAATTTGATTCTGGTTATATATCCATTCCGCTCACCACTCACTGTTAAAGAGACATTTCTTCGTCTTTACTTGAACTCCATCGGCCAAAGCATTTTAACAATCGGAACTCCATGGGCCCAAGGCATAGTGGTAAGAATAATGGGCCCAGACTCTATGCTAGAAGCCCACTGGGCCTCAAGGAAAAGACCAACACAAAGCTCATAACATTTTGCCTAGCTAAATTAAGAAGACATTTGGTTAAGAGAATATTACCGTAAATGTTATATTAATGGGAATATAGATTACTTTGAAGATTAATGAGAATGTTATATAAAATGTGTTTGGTTAGATTGGAATAAATTGATGGTTATCATGCTATGTTATATTGATATGTTTGGTTGGAATGAATAAATTGGTGGATATGTTATATAGATTACTAAATTGTCTTTCTTTTTAATATTATTATTTAAATGATTAAATCATTTTTAACCCCCAAAGTTTGAGAATTTAGATAAACATCTCCACAATAAAAGTTTACAAACTAACCAAAACACCCCAACACCAAGAGGACAATCAATCGTCGGCCACCATCACTAACTGACAGTTGGAAGTCATCAAAATGGCGCACAACCAATTAGATCTGGCTAGAAATGATCTAGTTGTTAACGGGCAGATCCACTCCATCCATTGATCTAGCCAGAAACAACCAGATGGGCGCATGGCTAGCTAGATCTGACCGATTGTGCACCATTCTGGTGATGTCCACTGGTGGCCCACGGCCGCTGGTGGCCAGATCTGACATTCTTGTAAATTGATTTCAATGCAAGGGTCTTGTCCAAAAGTTTTGTGTATAAGGTTAAAATAGTCTATGAATATTCTTATAAATTGTTTTCAAAACGAGGGCATTCTTGTCCAAAATTTTCAATAGTTAAGGGTAAAATTATAACAAAATTAAGATTATCAAGTAATTTTAAAATACCTAAGAAAATAGTGATAATCAGATTACTACATATATAACCAACCGTCATTACTATGCTTTTTACAAAATTATTGGAATCTTATAGGCTTCGTTTGGTTCGTGATTTAACAGTTTTGAAAATAATTTTCTGAAAAAAGTTGGTGGAGTTGTATTTAATAGTTTTCTGAAAAAGTGTTTGCATTTAAATATACTTGTTTATTTATTATAATTATCAATAGATAATGTCAGAAAAAAGTTGTTTGCATTTAATAATGTCAGATAATGCTGTGCGCCTGAGCCTTGTGTGTCACCTTTATTCCCACGCCACTCGCGCCATCGGTTAGCTGAACGCAGGGGTGTTTTTGATAATTATTGAACTTTTCAATTCNTTAAAAAAACGACGTCGTTTTTGTTTTCTCAGCTTTGTTTTCACCGCAGCAACATCATGAATCCATGATGAATCTAGTCATGCTCAACGGAGGACACGTGCTTTTAGTGGAAGTGGGGCAGACAACCTTGAACGAATTCCACTTCCACTATTGTGTCGTGTTGAGTTGAGTTGAGTTGAGTTGATTTCTTCCTCACTTTCTTAAAAGTAACCACAACTTATATATTAAGTTAGAATAATGCCACCAACAACCCCTACTTTTTATTTCAAATAATATGCTAATTAATTATACATAATAATATTATGTAAAATAATATAATATTTGTTATATATAAATTGGTGAAACATAAATCGAATAAATGATTATATATAAAAAGTTAATTTAATAAATATTTGACAAAAACCAATAAATAATATATCAATTGAAGGGCTATATTACATTAAAGTTTATATTACTATGTTATAAAATAAAACGTGTTAAAATGAAAATTTTGATTTCTTACTTAAAATATATTATATTAGCCATTAAGGGTGCGTTTGGATCGGGGGCATATAAGATAACAGGGGTAATCTTCGTTTATTTTGCAAGATTCTGGTTTTGATTTGCAAATAATAAAATATTATGGGTATCTTTTATTGCAAATAGTGGTTACTATTGGTAATGTTGGGGGTAATCTGATACCCTCCTCTAAGGGTGTTATTAAAAGATTATCGGGTAATATGATTTTTATACCTATTTTGCCCTTAATTAAATGTTATTTCGGACACAATTGCCCTCAAATGTCTACTAAATAACAATTACCCAACCCCCCTACATTTGAGAAATTAGCTAAAACACCCCAATCACAAAAAAGTTTAAAAGTAAACAAAATACTCCCAGCCACCTAAGACCACCATTAGGTGTTACTTACCACCGCCGCCTTCAGTGTCAATCGCCTTTTTCGACCAGATAAGGCTTTTTTATGCCTACATCTTTGGTCGTGAAACGACCATGGATTTGTAATCCATGTGCGGAAATGGCTATGTCGGCGCACAGTCAGCCATATACGGCCAATCGTGCGCCATTTTGTTGATTGCCGGCGGTGGTGGCTGGCTGTCGACAGGGGCTTGAGGTGGGTGGGGTGATTTTACTATAAATTAAAGTTTTATATAGCTGATGTATTTTAGCAAAATTTCAAATATAGGGGGTTAAAAAAAATTATTCAAAAAATAATATTATATTAACATTTAAAAAGGAAGGTAATTTCATAATCTATATAACATACACACCTATTTATCCTGCTAACCAAATATATTATTCAACAATTTATTTAAACTAACCAAATATATTTCATAAATATTCAATAATCTTCAAAGCGATCCATCGATTCCTTAACGTAACATCCCCAATAATAAATCATTCTAGAAGCCAAACGCTATTACACCCATGATAATATGATACGGCGGTGTCTAATCATATTTTTGGCGTCCTCCTAAAATCTTGTGCGGCCAATCTCTGTCTCCATGATAATCAAGAGTTGTTTGAAAATGTTTGTATACATTATTTTTAAGGTACACAAACGTTTAAGAATTTAGTTTTTGTTTGAGATTTGCAATATAGAAATATTTTTACAGAGTAATAATATTTTGTCGCTAAAATAATTACAATTTCAATGGAATCATTTGCAAAATTATAAAGGTGTGTACCAACAATATTATCTCATATTTGTGTGTTAATCTCTTAAAATATTTCCAACAGATATAGTTATTGTTTAATTTTTGATAATTTATTTGAAGTAATATTTTTTATGGCATAACAAAATTATTTTAGAGAAACTTTATGGTATTTTTGATAGTTAAATATTATTTAAAACTAAAAAAATAATAAAAAATTGACCTGTTAACAAACTTCGTGAGACTTCACATATATGGGGTTTATAAATAGATTTAAAATGCCAAAAACTAATTGTTGGATAAAATAAAATTTTGTCCATATCTAATTGACTATTTCATTTATATTATAAGTTATGGATACCTTTGTAGTGGAGATATAAAATATTAGAGGTAGGTATGAATTTAGTCCAGTGTAGGTATTATTAATCATTATCTCGACCTTATTCTAGTCATAACTAGAGAATATTTGTTTGTTTGGCTAATCTATAGTATTTGTTATGTTTAAGATAAGATAAATTATTCAACCTTTGTACATTAGTATTTTAGATACTGAAAAAATAACCATTTATTAAATAAAATAAGGCGGTATATGGTAAAGAATCTAATAGAGCAATGACACTTTCTCACCTTCAGACTTTTAAAATACCACTTTAATATCCAAATATTATATTTCGTTAACAAATTCCATTAAAAATAGTAATATTTACTGTAAAGACGAAAAAACCCTTTACTCTTCCTTCTCTTCTCTTTCCAACGGTCTGTGCTGGGGCGTGTATTGGCATGGTTGGAGCAATTTCACAAACACTTGGCGTGCACCAAGTTGAAAAAGTTGGAATA